TAAAAAAAAAAAAAAAGAAATAATAAAAAAAATCCCCTCAAAGATCAGAATTTTCGATTGCTGGTGCAGGAGGATTTTTTTATACATATATATGTGTGTATGTATGCATGTTTTAATTGGTTAGAACAAATTATTTATGATACAATTTATATATAAAACGGAGAGTCAAAACAAAAATATGTTATATCGATAAAAAATAGATAATTACGCTGTAAATTCATAAGAAAAAAAAGCTCTCATTAATGCTGGAGTTGACAGGGTTGAGATGTAATACCTACCTAATGAACACTATCAATAATTAAAAGCGATTGCGGGTAAGAAAACTGTAGATAAACATTAGTTAAAATAATAATAATCTGATGAATGTCCGAAAGTAGCGAGGCAACGTGACAATAGAAGACCGAAAAAAGAAACGTGTAGTATGAAATTTCGTTGCGGCCCTCCCCGTCGTAGTCTTGTGTGTGTGTGGAGGTATTTGTTACCGACTGCCACGCATGTTAGTAAACAAACTAAACATGACAAGGGGAGGACTTAGAAAATTAAATATTATATATATATATATAATATAGATAGCGTATGTATGTAGTTACATGCAGCTATAAATATATATTTTCTTTTTTTATATATAAAATTCGATCTGGATGTGGTTAAGAGATAAGCGACAAATATGATCGGGTGTGCTTGCTGCTGCACGGTTTATAAAAATAGGGCGTGTCGAGTATGCAACCGAGTCTGATGGGCAAGTTAAATAACAACCATGTTAAAATCCATTCGCCATTCTACATAAAGAAAACTAGAATCGGGGGAGGGGGACCGTACAAAATTCCCGAGCACCGTCAATGTTGACACTCCGTCGTCCCGGGTAACAAATTTCCTGCTTTGAGATGACAAGTCGCCATGACAACTAATGGAGCAGCCAATCAAGTTTGTATTTATTCTCACATAGAAGACAATCACGATGTTCCTACACTTATAGATTATGCAAGCTCACGGCAGCCCAATAACCAAGACGGTTCCTGTATTTGCACAAGTTCCGAAGCAAACATCGCTCCTTGTTACAATGGTACAGAAGACAAACACTTGCCGATTGTGACCGGGAAAGTCTAGAAGGTTCGTTCCTTACTTCCTGGGAGGTGTGTTTGTCCTCAAGTCCACCAATATTTGAAGCCCGGAGTTGCGAGAATGAAATTACAGTTGGGAAGGAATAAAGTGAAGTGAAAATTCAGTCTCTTGCCTTTTTTTTTTTTTCCTTTCTTTTTCTCTTTCTCCCCCTTTATCTCGGAGCGATCGTGATATCCGATGACTGAAAAACTTCCGTTTTAGTTACGTATTTATCTAATTTAGCGAAAACCGCAAACAGGATGTGATTGCCAATAATAGAATGTCTATCTGAAATGTTCACGTCCCCTCGTACATAAGGAAAAAAGGGGAGAGAGAGAGAAAGAAAAAATGAAAAAACTTTCTGCCGTCTTAAAACCAGATTTTCAAAATAACCCGACGTCAACTTACGATCGGTGTCCGTATTCTGTAACACCTAAATGAATACCCCCAAACGTTTCTGCCTGTAAAGTAGACGGGAGGTAAAAAGAAAACATAAAAATTGACCGATCTTCAAATTGTCAACAGTTGTCATGGTTACAAATTTCAAAATATGTTTTCCAACAACAACTAGTTGTGTTGTTTTATGACCAAACAAATAACAACAACAGCTTTTTTATAATATTTACTCGTTCAACAATGTCTGACGGTCATCGATGAAAATCGTGCCGTTCCGATATTCACCAAATCTATATCAAAAGAAGAATAAAAAGCAAAACAAATATTGTTTACGTTTAAGAAATTCACGCTAAAAAGCTTTTAGCTATTTTTAGACAGTCGGCTAATTCTAAACAACATTTTATTATTATTATTTTTTTTTGAATTAGTCTTCGTGTCTAGAAAATCTGAATTTTTGAATAGAAAATAAACACGTAATCTACGTCTTTAAACCAGAAAAATAATTATTGTATTTAGCATACGCTTGCAAATTACCATTACTTTTTTACTTCTATCTTTAAGATTTGACATAGAAGTTTATTGTTAAGACATTAATTTCTGTTGTTTTAAGCATCAAAATATGCTAATTTACTTTACACAAAAGTTTCTTTCTCATTTAGATATAAGCCACTAAACGAATTTAGTACGTGTAACGCGCGGGATCGTCGAGAACGTGTATGGGACCCGCCGTAACCTTTTGTCCCCCCCTTTTTTTTAAGTAAATGAAGCATCTTAAATAGAAAGCAAACTTAAACAGCGGCTATGGGCAAAAGGGAGCGATTGCCTGGAACACCGACCAACAGGGGATGCCAAACAAATCTTTTATACGAAAATATTCCCCCGAAGAAGAACGTCCGAAGTCAACACTGTACGTGATACATCCTAATTCAAATTTACCCGTACTCCAAGAAGATCTTAAAGATTTTACCTACCGTTATTAAACAATAGCATTAATTTATATAGGGAACCACTCGGAACCCGCAAGTTTGCTCAGGAGGAACAAGGAAAATTTCATCTCTCGACGGTCCTAGTCTTACGTATACAACCGTTTTCTAGTTTAAAATAAGTATAGAAGAAGAAAATAACTTAAAAGAAAAAGTTTTATACAGTCGACCCCCCCATAACACTGTTGATTATTCCATTTTATATGAATTCCATGTTGTACGAGTCTCTTAGATGTTACAAATACGTGAACCGTTCACAGCCCGTGTCCAAATCTAAGTGACTCGTACAACATGGAATTCATATAAAACGGAATTATCAACAGTGTTATAGAGGGGGTCGACTGTATATCCTAGATCTTTATAAATACCGTAGTATAAAACTGTTTCTTTTATCGGAAACAGACTTAAACGGGGGAATAAATACCAATAGATCTATAGCGAAAACACGAGAAACCTATGGTTAAAAAAGCGATTAATCGCTAAGTAATTTCATATATTTCATAGTCTATTGCTAAAAATTATAGATACAAAAACTGATTATAAATAACAAAAGGAAACAGGAAACAAACAAGAGTTTTGCGGAAAGCAAACACTATGTTAAAAATAGGAAATAACAGGAGATTGACAATTCTATCACATCCTCGTTTATAAACTTTTTATAAAATACACGATAACCATCTAAATTCAAGATAAACGGATACTCGGGGCGGGGAAAGGGAGGGGGGTGGTGATTGTTCTTAAAAATAATAAAGAGTATTTTTAGAAGGAAATTAGTTTTTGCCAAAAGGTTAACGTTAAAGGTTTTAATTTATTTTTACAAAAAAAAACAAAACGTGCGAATTCGGTTATTTGTCCAATTTTTATAGACATGTGGTCAGCGTAGCGAGAAGTTCTCGGACACGTCACGGATCACGTGATGAGTTTGGGTGGGTGGAGGACTTTCGCACCGGTTGTCACGGTAACCAACAATATCAACGTAACGGTTTCGTAGAAAGTAGAGAAAAATAAATAAGTAAATGACATACATTATGTTAGTTGCCGGGAATCGATACCATTAAGGTTGAATAGTAACCATTAAGATAGAAACAGTTTGGGCATGGATGACCGCTTTGCCTTTCTGCATAGAATTTAAGAAAAGACACAAGGGAATGGATGACGGCCGTTCCTTTTTTATTATTTTTTAGTTAGAAATATCACCTATAGGTGGAGCCGCTAGACCGAGCGGTAGTCCTCAACCCTTTTATAAGTCGTGGTAGAGATTAAAAATATATTATAAAAATATATATATATTGGAATTTTCCGTATAAAACTTACCTGAACGTCTCCGTTTTTGACATCGACACTGCCGTTTGGTGTCGGCGACGAAGCGGAACGTGTCGTGTGGTTAGTGGACAGATTAATGGCAGATTCACCCGTTTCTTCATGATCCATCATCGCTTCATTTTCCTGAAGAGACAGAAATAAAGAATAGAAGATACAAACCGATCAAAGATCGACAAAAAGTCAACTATATATCCCGACGTGGAATACCGGGGAGGGATTCACACACACACGGAGAAAAGAGAGAGAGAGAGGGAGAAGGAAAGAGGGAAGAAGAAGAAGAAGAAGAAGAAAAAAAAAATTCCTTAAATCGTCCGTTTGTATTTTCGCACACCATTTAGTCCTTTTATTGATAAAATGGTTCGAGTTGGTTGGAAAGATTTGCCCGCTGGTGATAAGGATACACGAATGTCACTTTTCTGCTTCAATAATTGTTTCCATCACAACGGTTACCTAGGTAACGGCGATAATTTTTTCCTCACTCCCGTCATTACCTTGCGATTACAACCTCCCCATTCGGGCAACAAATTAGGCAGCAGAAAAGACAGAAAAACTGATAGAAAGTGTTTTTATCAAAATGAGTGAGAGGGAGGACGCATTTCGGTTTAAAAAAAAAACATATATATATTTTCAATAGTTACTTTCTAACATGCGCGAATCTCGGAATTACGTGGAGATTCTCTCGTCTAATTCTTTTTCATTTTCTATTCGAAACACGGGGGAAAACAAACGAAATTATCCAGTAATAACTTATTTACTTTTAACGCGTTTTATATATCTTTTCTATTGTAAATTCTCAATCTCTATCTTGTTTTTCTTTTATTTCTATATATATTTCATCCCTTCTATATGCTTTACAAACTTTTTTTTTATATAGTAAACATCAAAAACTTTACGTAAACAGAAAGATTTAAAAAGTATACAAGAAGTAGACGGAATTTTTAAACAAGTTCCACCTCTTTAAATTTCCTTCTGGTTTTCTATTAAAAATCATTAGTTAGAAACTTCGTTTGCGAATAACTTTTATAATCTTCCCAATGAGAAAAACAGAAAGAGTAATATATAAATATTACCTTATTTAATATCTTTGCGAGTGATATTAGAGGAAATATTCCTTGTTTTATCTTTAGAAAAAGAAAAAAAAAGTGGCATAAAAGAGATGAAATACTGTACGATTCGCGGTGTCCGTCATTAGTTGTGCGGAGAGAGAAGAAAAGGAAGGAACAGAAGGAAGAAAGAAAGAAAAAAAGAAAATTCGACATTGTCTTTATCTGTCTACCTAGACATTTAGCTATTTCGATAACGTTTTATGAGGAATTGTTCTAAATCCGTGCTTGGAATAACCAACAAAGTCACGAATTGTCAATTTGCCCGCTTCCTCTTAGACTGTTCGAAATTAGATCTTTAAAAGTGTTTAGAGTGTTCGAAAGTATACTCTCCGTATTGCTTCGGATCAATTCTATAACGATGAGAGAGAACGAAAAAAGTTATCCAACATTAAATAAGCTTAGCGCCCGGTTGTGCGGTTTTGCTGCAAGCTCCATTTGGCATGCGGAGAAGCACGTAAGAGGCTTTCAGGTAAAAAAAAAAAAAATACGAACCTGTGGTAAACACTATATCGATAAGTTCCAACAATATCTATCGATCTTTAACAAATCTTATTTTCTAATATTTAACGAATTTAATCTGTCAAACTTTTATACTTTCATTAAGGTAAGAAAAATTCCTTAAAGTAGACTTAAGTATCAAACTATATATCAGTCTAGACAGTTTCCTTCATTGTATTAATGGAAAGTAACGTGGATAAACAAGCAAAAGTTGTCTTACGTCGGATGGCCCACGCCTATCTCTTGCCAAACTAATTGAAGCAGTTTGTACAGAGGTTAAATTAGTCTTTGTAGACTATCTGTCACTGATGTCATTGAGAACAGTGTCAGGTGGACAAGACCCGACCTCGGGGACAAATGACCGGATGGGGACTTAAGTCTTGTCTTGTCCCTAGAGGGGGTCAAGTCGTGTCCCTAAAAATAGATCGGGTCGAACTTTTATCCGGGTCACTAGCTAGACACTAGAAAAGGAAAAGGGAAAAAAAAAATAGTAGCAAAAACATCCGTAAAAATCAGTTTGAATTTTCCTAATATCGGTTGCAGAGCAACAAATTAATGATAAAATTAGCCACGTTTTAACATCATCGAATACTATCATTAAATTCTCAAATGAGTGTTGACTGATAAACGTTCATTAAGAGTCAGGTAGAGTCATCCAGATAGTGGAAAAATCACCGAAATATCGACACATCTCATTACAATGCTCTCTATATGATGATTAGAAAATGTTACCTAAGTTCCAAATGCCTTTTAATAGCTTCGGTTTAAGAGATTGAATTAAAATATCGTTTAAACGCGCGTTTTAATTGAGATGGAACAACTTTTCCAAAAGAAAGAAAAAAAAAAAAAAAAAAAGGGAGGAAGAAATACAAGTTTTGATCGCAAAAATCTCACTTTTTCTCCGTATAGCATCACCGGAGACAAGTTATACTGTTACACTCTACAAACTAAAACTATAAAATTTACGGGGGTAGTAATTAATCGCGTATTATGTAGCGGAAAAAATACATATAACTTGGTTTTTACTTACGAGGGGATGAGTGACTGTGTGTATTACTGTATCCCTGACAGGGAAATCTGGAGAATCTGATCTCGGTCTCATTGTCGCCGTTTTCTGTAGTAGTGAGCGACTGATGGGGTCACGAACTCGCAAAACTTCCAGCCAGCCGATCACGTGATTGGTTTGTACTGCACGTGTCAGGAAACGGCCGACCGTAACGCCGACCTAACGGCACGAAAGCGAAGTTTTTTGATAACCGCTTTCATTTTAACAATAGCTGGAAACTAAGAGAAAACAGCAAGTACTGTACTACATTTATATTTGTATGTAATATATATATATATATATATTTAATTAATTTTCGTAAATTCTTCATATAACCGGTAAGGTTCCGGTTTGTAGAAAAGAGTTTAAAAGGTTTGGGTATATAAAGTGTAAAGTTTTTTGATCTTATTGGAAATTAGGTAGGAACCGTTTTATCTCGGATACGGAGAAAGAGAATAAACGAGATACTTAGTTAAATTCTAAAGATTGCTAGCCGATCTCTAATTGTGTATATATGATTGGAAAATTAATGAATTATAGGAAATCGTTTAGACATCGGAGCTTAATTGAATATATATGAGAATCACAATGATTTTCCTATTAAGTAGGCTCTATTACGTTAATGGAAAGACGTATAAAGGACGGAAAAATAAAAAAAAAAAAAAAGTTCAATCGAGAATTTTGAATTCGAAAAAGATTTCTGTAATGTAAAAATAGAACATCTGTGGCTCTTGCATTAAACAAAACCCCTTACAATATTAACTAATTTATGCCCTTTCTCTCTCTCTCTCTCTCTCTTCTCTCTCTCTCTTTTAAATGCCCGAACATCTTAATTTGTTTTAGGAGTTTCGTATAATAAATCGCTTTAAAAAATCTATTTTTCCGCATGTTTATGATAAATATGTTTAATAGATGAATAATTATTTGATTTTAAATAAATAAATAAATAAAAATAATCGACGGCCTCTTTTAAACAAGCCTGTCTCTGGCCTTTAAATTAATAATACCAAAGAATGGCAAATTTACATGGATGATGTTTTATAATAAAAATTCCAATTGTAACTCTTAATACACTTCAATTATTTGTAGTAAATACGTTAGTCGATGTAAAGTATCGTTAATTTTTATACGAATAAAACAGGGCGGAAAGCGATTTGTTATTATTTTCCTTTATTATATTTCTTGGAAAAAAAAAAAAAATCTTCTAAAACCCGAAATAAAACTAAATGCGATCGTTGTGGATTAAGGTTTACAATTTAAAATGGTGTGTAGGAGACTTGACATTAATTAAAATCTTTCTCGTTGAAGAGAACAGCAATTCATTCTTCTCAATTCGAAGAGTTGTTTTGTTACATGGCTACCGATTCCGGGTTTTGTTATGAAATTTATCTAACACGGCGATTAATATAAATAATTCATTTTACTAGCTATTTAAATATTCTCTTATTAAAATTATGAAAACAGCGAAATGAACTAGAAAAGTTGTAAGATTAAATCAACATTGGAGTTGAATCGCCAAGAGGCATGCAGTCCGACGATTGTGTATTGTCACTATGAAGTAAAAGGTAACATTGGCTTAGTGAAATTTAAGAGAATTCTGTGATGCTAACAACGGGGGGAAAAGACTAGAGCGGTGCCTTTGCTAATGGAATTCTTCACGGTTAAGATGGCCAAGGGATCGGATGGACCCGTTACACAACTCACTATCCTCTACTAAATAAGATATTTGTTCTTTATTTATAAAAATAGACGTATTTCCCCCGAAGAATGTAAGTTTTCTAAAAGATAAAATAGTTTATAACCGTCTTATTTAACTTCGTCTATTTTATAAATTAGCCGAGATGTATATAAAATAATATAGGCCTTTCATTAAGCTAACCGTTAGCGATAAAAGAAGATTACCGTAACAGGAAATACTACTCCAATTCAGGCCTTTACAAAGCAACACCAGACGAGCTAACAGAAAAGCAGTAACGCGCGTTATCCTCATATAAATCCCACATACAAAGCCATCTTATAAAATCTCAGCATTTATAAGTATTGAATATGGTTAGCTTTTCGTAAACGAGAACTCTTCCAGGCACAAAAGGGTCAAATACAGCGTAGTAGATGTTATTGACAATTCTATTCTCGCTATTGAGGAAGAAGCCTAACCTATAAATAGGAACATTAACCTAACAGAAGCCAATGCGGATATTTTTTTTCTCTCCCCAATTCCTACAAAAATAAAAACATATTTAACTTGTTTTTTTTCAATTTTAAAATATATATATATTTATCACTAGATGGCATTTCGAACACGTGAAATTTTCTAAAACAATACAGAAAATAAACTGAATTTTTTAGTACAGTCGACCCCCCTATAACACTGTTGATTTTTCCATTTTATATGAATTCCATGTTGTACGAGTCACTTAGATTTTACAAATAAGTGAGCCGTTCACAGCCCGGCACACGTATCTGTAAAATCTAAGTGACTCGTACAACATGGAAGAAAAATCAACAGTGTTATAGGGGAAGTCGACTGTAATTACTTTATTAAAAAGTTTCGAAATCGTAATGTATTTTTAAAATTAATCTTCCGTACTTGATTGGTTGTTGTGTGTTCGATTTAAAAAAAAAAAAAACACACAAGAAAAATTTAGAATGGAAATCGAACTCCATTCGTCCGTAGATTTCCTTTAACCAATCAAGATTAGTTTTCGTTAATGACATTACTCCATTCGACTAATCGCTTTACTGTATTGAAAAATTCAAGTATTTAAATTTTTAAAACTTTATTTATGACATTCGGAAGCAGATGTTGAACTATTAAAGTAGTTGTTTGAAGAATTTCGCTTGTGTAAACGTAATCCGAGTCAAATTTGTTACAATACAGCAGCAGCAACAACAACAACAACAACATCGTAAAACGGCAAACAGAAAATATAAAAAAAAAAACACAGGAAATTTAATTATTTTTCTGTTTGTTTACTTCTCTCCCGTCTTAAAATGCACGACGAAAGGATACCCGTGCCGGTGTTAAAAACTTTAAAATAATAATAAATTCTTAAAGTGTTTATCCCAGAATGATACCGACTTCTTGACAAATGTAATTTTTCAAGGCTGGCCTATTAACCGGCTTATTTTGTAAATATAAACTTTTTTTCCAATCTAAACACACAGTACTTTACCTTAATCTTTAGATTTGATTTGAATTAAAGCGGATGCTTGTAAATTTTTAAATAAAGTACACTAGTCTAAAGTATGATAAGTGTATATTAAATCCAATTAAATATATAAATTCGGTATCGAGTTTGAAACTTACGAGTGACCCAGGCTTTAAATTGTCAAAGGCCATATCATAGATCACCAGCACGTTTATAGATTATCAATAGACTCGCTTACGGTAGTGGACTATAGATCAGTCGAAACGTTTAATCTAGCATAATATTAAACTAGTTTAAAGAATTTCTAAGCCCGTATTTCTACTTTATTAAGCTTCATTAAATTGTAGAGTTTTTTTTTTTTTTTTATTACCTTAACAAGTAAACGTTCCTACTCATTTGTTAACCGGTAGTTATACTCTACAAAAATCGCAATAAAAATAAAGAGGTTATCATAAAATAAATAACATCTTTTACACGAAAAACCTAGTTTATATTTATATATATATATATATTTTTTCTATCTTAATCGTTCGAAATCATTGTAAAAAATCGAATGAAGATACCGGTGTTGCCTGTAAGTAAGTAGGACTGGTAGGCCTACTTATCGGCAACTTGGGCGAGAAGTATATAGGCTATATCTCTCTCTCTCTACACATCTTTCCGTAATAAATGAGTATAGAAAAAATACGGTAAAATGACTAAAAAAAGTGAATAAATCATCTAAAACATGGTGTGTAACGGTCCGAATCGGCTTTCTAAAAAAATAAAATATATTTAAAAAAAAAACCCCGTGTAATTTAAAAAATAGATTGCAAAGAATGAACTGGACTTATTCCTTCTTCAAACACGCATAAACTACATACCCCCGTTAGTCCCCTCCCTTCGTCATACTAATTTTCGTAATTATTTTTACTTTGGGTAAAGCAATGAAAAGTTTTAATTAATTCGTCCAAGCTAGATTTTTTTCTATATCTTTATCCCTGAGGACTAATAAAAACAGACTAATTGAATTTGTGGTGTAATTCAATTAAGAAATTATTACTAGCCCACAAATATAATTAACTCAAAGTACGCGATTTGGTTGCATTTGCCATTTCTGACAGATTTTTATTAAGAAAATTTTAGATTTGGAAAGACGGATGAAAAAAAAAAAAATTAGTTTGATTAGACTTTTTTCTGTTGGAAAGATTCGTTTATATTAAAAAGGAAAATTGTATATTAAAAGAGATGGTTCAAAATAGGCGGAAAAATCGGGAGAAAGAAGAAGAAGAAGAAAAAAAAAATGGCGGTGAAGAAGAAAAAAAAAAAAAAAACGTGTCTAACTCTCTCTCTTTTAGTGTGCTTAATTTTGACGTCATTATGGCACACACAGTGCCATCTGGTAGTGATTTTTGGCAATCAACGCCCTATTCTGAAAGCGAATTAATATTTTACTACAATTCTTAATGTTTTCAAAATTAATAATTACAAAAATCACAAAACCAATTTAAAAAATATTTTTTAAAACTACCAATTACTGTCTTTCGTATATTTTACATTATTGATGAAATGGCCTTAATGAGAGAGAGAGAGAGAGAGAGAGAGAGGCTAACTTACTAATTTATGGCTTTTAAAAATTGGGAAAATTTTTAAATTTTTCGTTTCTCTATTAAGTTAACAATAAAAATAAAAAATATAAAAAACGTTTTAATTAATAATCGTAAGTTAAAAGTTTTGTACAAAAGTTTAACGAAAAATAATGACGAAGGAGAACGAAAAAAAATAATAAAAAAAACCACGTTTTCCCCCCTTTTTTTTAAAGCGACATTTGAAATTTCTGACAATTTTTACATTAAAACAAAACCCCGGCATTCTTTTTATCTATCTTAAAGAGAATTTTCAGGAAATTTATCTTATCTGTATGAGAAATTGCATAATTTCACTACGCATTGTTAACTATGTAACGTTTCACACGAAACTTTCCGTTACATCTAATGAATTGAACATTAAAAAAGGCCTATCGAAATCTTGTGTTATCCATAATAAGTATAATTCAAAATTCGAGAGCAGCTGCACTCGTTTAAACCGGGAGAATTATCAGGAACCTCTCTAAACTAGAACAGATTATATATATAC